ATGAACTCCTTAAAACTCCAAGTACCTAATAAAACTCAACAAATGCAAAAATGCAACCTAAACACACTAAATAAGATGAGAAATGCATAAAACTATCCTAGAAACAAAGCTCAAAAACCATTAAAAACCATAGACATCAGAATCTACCTCAAGCTCATCCAACTTCTCTTGCAATTTCTTCTCATAATTCTGCGCAATTATCTCTGCCTTTTGATCAACATACGTTCCATCTGGCTTTGTATGTGTTTTGATGAAAACCTCACCAAGAGTGACTGTTCTTCCCAATTTGTCTTCCTGAAATGTTAGAAATAAAGAAGGGTTATGAAACTGTTTAAAGGCTAGCAAAGGAAATACAAAATTGACAATAAAAGTGACTAACCATGTCTGATTGTATCTGTTGATACGACTTTGGGCCAGATAAATGGATGTGAGGACCAAGACCATTACGGTCAGACATACGAGCCTTGGAATAGGTATTACTCCTTTGCTGTGCTGCATCAGTATCCCAGTGAGCAACCATCTTTTGCCAGAGAGTGTCGACGATCCAACTTGGTCGTTCACGACTTGTCCTCACATTGCTAACCATATCCTTTATGCGGCGTGGACAGACCTTCTCAAACTCTTTGCCTTGCACAATAGGTCCACTATCTTTCAGTATGTCTCTCTGTGACCTAGGAGCGTCAGTTAGTCTCATGCCTCTCTCTGTGGCTAGAAGGTTAGGTTTTACACAATACAAATCGTACAACCTATCCCTCATCTTGGCAGACAGAATAGTTAGGGTTCCATATGGCTTGTTGGAAGATCTTCCAGTAAAGATTGGTGAACTATAAGTACCAACTGACTTCATTGTTTTGGAGATGGATGATGAGCCTCAAGATCCACTTATCCTAGGAAGACCATTCTTAGCTACAACATGAGCAATCATTGATGTCGGGAAAGGGATGATTGATCTCAATCCGGGTAAGAATTTCAAGATGAAGTTTGATATCAAGGACGTCTTGAGTACGCCAACAGTTGATGGGCACACCTTCTCCATTGAAGATGAGTCAACTAAGCAAATACTCAAGCAAGGTGTCAAAGAATCTATAAATCCCTCATCGGATGGTTGTTTAGAACTTTGAATTATCAATGTTTTGAAAGATTCAGTGACAAGGTTAAAAGCTATGGTCAAGGAAATGGATGCGTAAATCAAGAAACTGAAAAGAAAAAGCAATGGTCCCTATCCTAGGAGACAGAGTATGAGTGTAAAGATGAGCAGCAGATCCTGTGACATTGACCCAGGAAAAAGAGGAGGAATGAGATCTCTGAGAATAGAGGGTGCTTCAACACCTCTCTATGAGCCTCCTAAAGCCTAAAAGGCATAAACAGTAAAGCTTAGTGACTTTAAACAAGCTCACTTGGGAGGAAGTCCCAAAGGTATCCCTGTAAATACTGCTTAGGATTTCTTGTTATTTTGATTTTTGGTTTTGGTTTTATGTTGGTCAGGTTGTCAGACATGTTTAGATATGTTTCTCCACGAGTGATGTCCTAGCACGCTACAAAACTCCTTCTCAATCACGTCATTCAGCCTATGAGTATAGAGAGCATAATGTTTCTTCTTCTCCTCTGAGAAAGTCCTCCCCTGAGCTTAGGGCTAGCAAGAAGAAGGAGAAAAGGAAAAAAAAGAAGGCAGCGAGAGGGAAGGCAAAAGCTAGTTCATCAAACTTGCTAGACGAGCATCATGTTGAGGATCTGACCATGGATCAAGCAGAGGATCACATTGAGGACCTGACTGTTGATCCAGGTGCGTATCATTTCCCAGACCTTACTTAGGGTCCGGTCGAGCAGAACGTTGAGCAACCAGCAGAGGCTCCTCCCGCGCAGCTTGCACCAGGCGCTTATACAAGCGAGTCCATGAATGCGTACCTGGACTGCTATTTTCAGTAAGGTACCACTTAAACCTTCATTTGTACATACCATTGCATTTTCATACTTTTGTTTGTTTGATTCTCAAACCAGCTCTCAAATTTTTATTACACAAGGGACTGTGTAATTTAAGTTTGGGGGACAGTTTGGAATGACATTTAATGTTGTGTTCTCTTTTCTTATTTCGCATTTTTAGCATACAATCTGCATTCATATATGTGCTTTGAAAACCCCTATTAATTTGAAAAATTTTCAGAAAAAAAAAATCTTTAAAAACAGAGTGATCATGTATCTTGCATTTGCATATTAGTATTGAGTCTAGATTATTTCATGTAGGACTGTTGCATTATCATAGGGGGCGGTGATGATTTACACCTTGTTAACTTGCTATGATTCACTAATTGAGTTTAATGCCCTGGGTTTTAGCTCTTTGATGCATGATGATTGAACTTGAAGTAAGTCTGAAACAAACTTGGAATTCATGAAGTGCATTCTTGAACTTGGTTGAAACATGTTGTGATATGATCTCATTCCTTACCTTATAAGAACTTAATTTTGACTTGCAAATATATGGTTGTGTTTTGCTTGCATGCTCATGGTCAACATATACATATTTGGATCATCTTCCTTCTTTCAGCACTCTTGTTGATCCAAGTAGCTGATCTTTTTTTGATCAGTTTGCCATACCCACAGCCTATTCTTTTCTTTCAAGCCAATTGATAATTTTTGAGTGGTAGGTCTTTTACCGGATTATGCTTGGGGAGAACGTGTTAGGTATGAGCCGACAGGATTAAAATCTTGAGTAGTTCTGATTTTCACTTTCAAATCCGATAGGACTAGGTCGGGATTCTTACTTTGGTTTGGGATTGAAATGATTGTGGAAAGAAAGAAGAGAAACAAAAAATAAAAAGGTTGTGTCCTTAGGAGGATAATGTTTTTCAAGAAGTTTATACTCTAGTGATTGATTTTTGTGGGGATAGCATGATATACAGAAAATGGTTCTGGGATGTAAAGAAAGAAAACAGTTTTGATGTCTTATAACGTAAGAAGAAAACAGAACCATAGTAAGGAAGAAACCCCCTATCCACTAGTATTGATAAGAAACTTCTCCTAAGGCAAAAAAGAAAAAAAATGGGATTGATGTTGAAGGGTAGACATAGGGATCATTCGGGTTTAGATGATTAGGAGTAAGCACTTGGGAACCATTGGGTAGTCTATGTTTTGCAACCTTACATTTACCGCATGTTTAACATGTTTGCTTAGGATCATTGAAAACCAAAATCATTTATACTTCGCTTGACTTAATCATTTCTGATATATCTTCCTTGCTAGCATCACACCTGATTGGACTGATACCTATTGTACTGCAATGACATGATAGTACTCTAGGGTAATTGGTAGTAAAATCATAGTATCATTTGGTTTAGGGTTTAGGGTCTGGGTTTAGGGTTTGGGGTAAGCCATAAACTTAAAAATAAGCCAATAAAAAAATTTGATATTATTAATGTAATTTATAATTTCATATTTTCATATTAAACCCCTATTCTTTCCAACAAATTTCCCGCAAAAAAAGTTCTTCCAAAAATTATTCCGCCAACATTTTCCGACAAAAAATTTCCCGTCCAAAAGTTTTCCCGCCAAAATATTTACCGCCAAGAAAAATTCTGACAAAAGTTTTCCCGCCAAAATTTTTATTTACAGAAATATTACGGGAAATTTAGACACAAAAATCGACATTATTTGAAAAATAGGGGAAATCACATATATTACAGGAATAAAAAGGAGACTGCTGGAAAAGAGATCGGAAAATGGGCAGTACACCAGAAACACAATTTACCTGCTAAATCCGACGCTAGCAAGGACGGCTCGTTTACGACTAAAACTTGACATCAATTCTTAGGCTAGAGCTCGCAAACCCCGCAGCAAATGGTCATTGAGATCTAACCCAACCCGGAACTTTCCTTTTGGAAAAGGAATATCCGCCACAACCATAGATCCAATATCTTCTTCTCCTCGACCTAACAAAAAGAAGCCTTCCAACAAACCCTATGGTCCAACGTATAGCACTTACCTTTACTTCCAAAGCAACCTCCCTTCCGATCCGGCGAACAGAAAACCAATCACGGCGGTGGAGGATGGACGCTAGCTCAAGCAAGCCATCAACCATCAAAAGCCGGTTAAGGATACCCGTGACTAGCCATCAAGGATCTAGTCACAGATCAACACTTAATCTGTTCGCAAAGTGGTGAACCCACCGATATGAAGCTCAACTTCCGCCGCAGGACAGATCTACCACTCACAAGCCACTTAGCCAAGAGATATCCGATCCAGATCCGCCATAGCCTTTAACCAGCAGAACGCAGGAACATCATCTGAGATCTCCGTGAAAGAGAGAATTCGTTTGACATCGAACGACATATCCAACCACGCCTTACAGCAACATAGAAGAGAAGCGCCCACCACCTGCTTTAATCCCTGCCCATCAGCTCTAGAATGGCAAAACTCTTTAGGATTTAGGGTTTGGGGTTTGGGATTTAGGGTTAAGGGTTTAGGGTTTAGGGTTTGGGGTTTGGGGTTTAGAGTTTCGAGTTTAGGGTTTGGGGTTTAGGGTTTAGGATTTGGTTTAGGGTTTAGGGTTTAGATTTACGGTTTGGGCTAAGCCAATAACTTAAAATAAGCCAATCAAAAAATTTGATATTATTAATGGAATATATAATTTTGTATTTTCATAGTAAACCCCCATTCTTTCCAAAAAATTTCCCGCAAAAAAGTTCCGCCAAAAATTTTCCCGCCAACATTTTCTGACAAAAATTTTCCTGTCCTAAAGTTTTCCCGCCAAAATATTTCTGCCAAGAAAAATTCAGACAAAAGTTTTCCCGCCATAATTTTTTGTTACAGAAATATTACGGGAAATATTGATACACCGAAAATACAAGAACATCATCTGAGATCTCCGTGAAAGAGAGAATTTGTTTGACATCGAATGACAGATCCAACCACGCCTTACACCACCATAGAAGATAAGGGCCCACCTCTTGCTTTAATCCCTGCCCATAATCTCTAGAATGGCAAAGTTGTTTGGGGTTTAGGATTTGGGGCTTGGGGTTTGGGGTTTGGGGTTTAGGGTTTAGGGTTTAGGGTTTGGGGTTTGGGGATTAGGGTTTAGGGTTTAGGGTTTAGGGTTTGGGGTTTGGGGTTTAGGGTTTGGGGTTTGGGGATTAGGGTTTAGGGTTTGGGGTAAACCATAAACTTAAAAATAAACCAATCAAAAAATTCGATATTATCAATGGAATATATAATTTTATCTTTTCATATTAAACCCCTATTCTTTCCAAAACATTTCCCGCAAATAAAGTTCCGCCAAAAATTTTCCCGCCAACAATTTCTGACAAAAAGATTCCCGCCCAAAAGTTTTCACGCCAAAATATTTTCCGCCAAGAATAATTCCGAGAAAAGTTTTTCCGCCAAAATCTTTTTGTTACAGAAAATTATGGGAAATATTGACACAAAATTCGACATATAATTTAAAAATAGAAGAAATCACATATATTACAGGAATAAAAAGAAGTCTACTGGAAAAGAGATCTGAAAACAAGCGGTACACGGGAAACACAATTTACCTGCTAATTTTGATGCTAGTAGGGACGGCTCGTTTGCGACTAAGACTTGACATCAATTCTT